CATGAAGTAGAGAATGCAGATCTCAATGCGCGATAGCAGTAATCGACTGCATTTCAATGGTGTTCATTCCTTCAAGCGGATGGTCTAGGATACCAGGGGTATCAATCGCCTGGAAGCGAAGGTATTTGTAATCGAAATGGCCGACGAATAGACTCTTAGTAGTGAACGCATATGGTTGCACGTCGACATCTGCCTTGGTAATATTCCTCAGAAAGCTGGACTTGCCAACGTTTGGGTATCCGCAAATAAGGAGCGTTCTAGTGTTGGGGTCGATCGAGGGCAGACGGCCGAGATGCTGTCGCACCTGTTCAAGATAGACAAGCGGATCCTTCAGCCGTCTGCATATCGTCGCCATGCGACCTAGAGCAGCCCGCTTGAGCTGTTTACATTGGAATAGCGACTGAGCATATTTGATGAGGCGGACATAGTCACGACAAACGGTTTCTATCAGATGTTTGGCGGTAGCTAGCTGGCCAAGTGCAATACGGAAATGGTCGGCATCGTAGAGCGTGTTCATCAAATCCTTGTCTGAAATAAGTAATCCAGTCAGCGAGAGTGACTCATTTCCACAAAACAGCAGAAAACATAGAACAAACTCACGAAATGGATGAATGTCCTGCAACCTTGGGAAGCCTTCCAATATATTTTGAAATTTCTCACAAAAAGTCTCTTGTGTAAACTTCACTTTTCTAGTATAGAACGCTATAGGTTTGTAGGCATAGGTCAGCAACCATCAAGCCTTAAAATTTCCACTGCTAGCTTCTTCCTAATCCAAATCGTCCTCATTTATTCTCCTTTCATTTTTCTCTTTCGCTCCCACTCTCATACACTCGAAGGTCCCACCAAAAGCGGAAAACCAGAGAGAAAACCAGACGAAGAAAACCCACCTCGAATCCGGCTAATCTTGAAACCAGCACGAATCTGCGTCGGCAGCCGTCTCTGCGTCCGAGAAAGAACGATATCCAGGAACTCCTGGCTCGAGGGCACAGGTTGAATCTATTAATAGCGAAAACGGTAAAAAAAACAACGTGCGCTTGTCAGTGACCGAAACTTCATCAATTTTAACAGAGTTGCGGCGGGCAGGTCAAGAAGAGTTCAAGTTCCGGGGGAGAAACGACAAGCCGAATGGGGAGAGGGAAGAAAAATAGATAGTTGTACATACCTCCTTCCAAGTCGTCTTCATGATGCCTGGTCAAAAGAAAAGACGAAGGGGTTAGGGGTTGATTTGTTGAGATGGATGGATGGATGGATGCCGTCCCTCGCTCTGCCAGGTAGGATTGAAAATCTAAAATCAAAAAAATAAAAAAAGCTGTTTGTGGTTTACAGGGCTGCCCGGAACAGAAGTTTTTCCCGAGGCGGTGGGCCCAGGTTGGGAAGGTTTAGCCTATCGAGCTTATCGGGCGGGCAGGAGAGCTGACAGCGGACAGCGTACGTACTGCGTAACGGCGTAAGTTACACTACACTACTCTAAGTTACAAATTCCAAGGGGGCAGAAAAACAAGGAAGGATATGCTCAATTCCTTCTTTTTTATATACAGACAGACAAGTCCAGTAACTGATAAAAGTACTGTACAAGTTACGTATACATACATATACATAAAAAGAATAAAATACAAAAATGAAACATGGGGAATGCGATGCGCCTTGCAAAGGAACACTGCATATCCACTCAAATCCGCCCGCAGCATCCTATTCCCCTCATTCCTATAGACTCATGAAGGCACGTAAAGCCAACAAAACAAGCGAAAATGAAAAATGAAAAATCTCTTGTTTTGCCTCATGAACCCCAGACATAATGAAAGAGGAAAAAAATAATGCAAAAAACAGACAGCCTCGCCATCCCTCTTCGCCCCACCCACCCATGGCCCATTATTTTTTCGCTGTTTCCTATAGCTCCCTTCCAAACAAAAATAAATCACAATAACCACCCAACCAGACCAGAATAGATAGATATGTCTCATCATGGGTAATGGGAAAAAAAAAAAAAAAAAAAAAAAAAAAAAAAAAAAAAAAAAAAAAAAAAAAAAAACCAAAAGGGATATACCTAGACCTTCACGTCGATGCTTCTTATGGTATCCGTCTCAACCGCGTAATCCCTTCATGTGCACTCTGATTCTCCCAGTCTAATCCAACCTAAAGCCTACATATATGCTCGTGGAAGAAACAATGAGAAAAAGCAAAGGAAAAAAAAAAAAAAAAAAAAAGAGCACTACCGCTATTGTGTTTCCTGCCCGCAGTCCCGAAACTGAAGCGTTGTCGTCGGCTCCATCCCCCTTCCTTTTCACATCAAACCTCAACGTTTGCGAAATCCAAGACCTATTAAATTCCAAGCACCCATATTCAGCATTTTTATTTATTTATAAGAAGTAGGAACTGACGTGGTAGATAGAGATACGGCACTACATACCATGCTATACCACCCTCCACCACCAAACGTACAATCACTCAAACCCCGATTCTCAAATCCTAGACTTGTATAAAAAGGTATCAAATGGTCGTGAGCCAGGAGCGCAATCCGATTCGCAATTGCGGCATCCTTTATGCGCTGGATATATGCTTTCAACAGCGTGGAGCCGAGCCGCTTCCCCTGGTGCTCTGGGAGGACGGCGAGGGAGTGCACTGCGATCGTCGAGCCTTGGTCCTGGTGGCCCAGTGGCTCGGAGCCGTTACAGCTCTCCAGTGTAGATGATGACTTGTCTCGCCAGTTAGGAGGGATGCCCATGGCGGCGTCGGTTACGCACAGCGCTGGGGTTCTGGTGGCTAGGATGTGAGCGATTAACTGTGCTCTGGGTTTTGGTTTGCTTGGATCCTTTGGCGGGAGGTAGAATACTCCCAGTGAAAGTTCGGGGCATTTTGTTAAACGGTATTCGACCTGTAGAGTGTTGTGTGGGGTGGGTTTGAAATTAGCTCACTCGGAGGGAACCACAATGGAGGTAATTCCCCGTAATCAAAATAAACTGCGCAGAAATAAACTGGCTTACCTTCTCAGGTGAACATCTCTCATTCTCCGGAAACGCCGCCTCAACAGCTAAGCAATCCTCCACATTTGACAAGGACAACAACTGGACAAATGGATGAAGCTGATCCAGCTCTGTTCGTTTTGTGGGTGGTGGCCGCCGAAAATACCAAGAATAATCTGCCACATCATCATGTTCTACTTCAACGAATTCGTCCTCTTCATCGTCGTCATCGTCATCATCAGCATGGACTTCGTTGCCCACCGCTTCCAATTCATGAGCCATGAGTAGATCTGCCTGCGCTATTGCTGAGCGCTGAGCAATTCTGGACTGTTCGGTTAAGGGGGCACGCTGGAAGTTACGTTGGGTGGGCAGTGTCTCCATGGAAGAAAATGTGTCGCGCGACGGAGCGGAGAGTCCAGGGGAGATGTTGCTATCAACCGCCGGCCCCACCGGTTGGTCTTTGACTGCTGTCCCGTTTTCCGTCATGTTCGAATATTTCGACTGGAGGTAAGCTCAGGCGGGGGAATGTGAGCCGTTGGAGGATGACGAACGATTTGCGAGATTTCGGGCTTTGATAGACTATTGTCCCTTATCCCATATATCTAAGTCTGTCTTCGTACTCTTGTAATAAAATCCCTGCGAATCGACCAAATATCTCAACAAGCGGTATCTGGGGAGAAGGAGAGAGGACGATTGATCAGCAATTGTTCAGAATGATATTTAGCTCAAGAATTTATAGAATGGAAGGTAGTATTTTTTTACTTCTCAGAAAAGGTCGGCCTAGTCAGAGCAGCAAAATGAAGCAAGGTGTAATTGCAATATTCCGAGAGAGAGTGAGAGAAGACCAGGTACTCGCATGCGAAAACTCTACCTTGATATGGCAGCAAGCTGACGGTGATGCCGTGCAGAAATCCAGTGGGCCAAGTTGTAGGGATGTGGTAGTTTGTCTCCTCCTTACTTTTTGAGCGATAAATGACGGCCTTGTTTTAATCTCCCGCAAAAGAGCGAATGTTAAAGTATGCGGGGAGAAAAGATCGTGGCTGTTGTGGTTTTGGCTGCGGTGGGTGAAAGAAAGAGAGGAGGAGGGAGGCAGCGGAAGAGAGGGGCGACGGGTCGGACTGCAAGCTTGTCCCCAGCTAGCAGTTGGGTTATCCGGGTAACTTCAATAGGGGTGGTGACAGGAGTGTTCTAATGATGGGCGTACTAGGTGGGAATGTTCGAGGATTTTCTCATGAGGTTGAAGAAAGCAGAAATGGTGCTTCCGCGATGGAGGAGGAAATTTGCAGATGGCGATTCATGAGGGAGTCGGTGTTCGCGGCCCGTGGGGTACTTTGGAGATACCCCACCCCGCAGCAACTGTTTGGTGAATTTCGAGGTCAAAGCTGAGTATTCCTGTGCCACTGAACTGCCCCTCCATGTGATAAAGAATATGGATGTTTCAGAAGACAAAAACGTATAGAAGAACTCCGTACTTAGGTTACTATGCCTACTATTGAATAAATGCTTAAGCATAGGGTTATGGATCCAAGCTCCTTCGCATTCCTATGTAGTGTAACTATATAACGTGATGAATAGGTCGATATCGCACACCGATAAAATTTCAGACCATGGGCTTTGTCCCCGCGCGGCAGGTTGTCACTGGTATATATTACCCATCTCGTTTCCTGTTCCCACTCAGTCCGCCAGTGTAGCGCATAAATATCATAGCTTTGCTGGGTGCGCCAGGCAGGTTCTCACAAACAGGTTGTTCGGACAGAGCGTAGAGCAGCCATGATTACCTTTTTTCTCCCAGGAATACATGGAGTCTATTGAATTCTTCGAAAATTTCCCTATGGAAGGAAACATCTGATTAGCCTGCTCACGAAAACCTTGATGTACTCTACTCTCCGGCACCAAAATGCATGCTTGGAAACAACCAACGGAAATGCACCCTGCCAATCGCTGGTGGCCTGTTTCAGCTGTTGGCATGCGCTATTTTCCTATGCCAGAAACTGACAGAATTTTCGAATACGCTTAATCCTCCTATCCGAGCATCGACGTTGCATGATCGCCACTCAAAAAGTCATCTTCTCCTGTCTCGGGGACTGCAATCGGACGAAGAAGTAAATGGATCGCAATTTCATTGGTGCGTGAGGAATGAGAGAAGACGGCAAACATACCGTAGGCTGGTCTGGAGAGCTCGACCTGCGCGAGTCATGTATTATTGAAGCTCCAACCAACCACAATGAATGGATAGGATATCATCCCAAAATTCATGTAGATTCATTCCCGACTGGCCATGAGGATATAAAACCATATTCCCTGAAAGGTCAGACGCGCTAGCTGCCAGAATCTAATTTAACGATGCGTTTAACGTCCGTCATCTTTTTCGACTGTGATCTCCAGAGCGCGTGGCGGGTTAAGGTGGTGTCTTGAATCAGATTGTATAACAGGCCTCCTAAAGAAAAGGGTTACAAAACAGATGTAAACGAACTCGACAGGTCACAAATAGGACCAACTCAAATATGGGGGACGGAAGTAGTTAGTGTTTGGCAGGACAATTGCTCGCGTCAATCGTTCAACTTGCCGAAGCACCCCTGTAGAGGATATCAATCGCCTGGAATAGCTCATGCGACCGCCGGACCAAGGTTAGATATTTAACCTGCATAAGAAGCGCCAGCAATCCAGAAGAGCACCATGAATTTCAGCGCGTAGGCGACATCGTCCGCTTTCCAAAGCTGGCTTGGCGTGTGTCCATCGGTAAGTGGCGTATGCATCGCGCGTTGTTCATCAGCGGGGTTGGCGGATGGTGCAAAGAACCACCAAACGAGGGTATGGTATGGAGCTTGCAGGATAAGTTTGGCGTTGAATCAGCGGCGCTGTGTCATTCTGCAGCTCTCATTTTTGTGCTAGGGTAACTCCTATCCTATTTAGCAAACGGGCTTGCCTCGAACCGGCGAATATGCAATGGACACCAGGCTATTAAGTTAGGCAGACACTTGCTACGCAGCTTGGAAGGCCAGCGAAGGCTCAGGAACAAACCACTCCATTGCCTGCTCCATTGGAGTCTTGGAGCGGCTTTCCATGGAAGTACCAGTACTCCGTACTTCGTGGTTCGTTAATCAAGCGAACTGACAGACAGTGACAGTGCCAAGTAGATATATTTATATACGGAGTAATGTGGGTGATTTGCGTAGAATCTGTCTAGAAAGCTGAGACGAGACGGAGAAGCAGCGGGGGTCTGCCCCTTAGTCATCCGTCTGATGCTCCTTAGAACTTCATATTTCATTGATTTAAATCATACTTCTCTTTCAATTCCCCTCTGAGATCATTGTCTTAGACATGGACACATTCCTCTCGGTCCTCTTCTTACATCTTCTTTGGCCTCAGGTCCTCTCCGATTGCTCTCCGCGTTAGGCATTCCGTTGTCTCTCTCCCGGCCTTTATTCAGAGCTGTCTGTCTTGCTCATCCTGCTACCCCAACGTCCCTCAATTGTGCCTGCGTCGACTGTGTTGGCCGCAACCTTGCCCGCCTCACTACTCACTACAATTCTTCCGTTTCTTCTCGGACCGTCTTAAAACGTCTTCGCCCATTTTCCACATCCTGTCATTCAAGTATCTAATTTGTTTCCCACCTTGACGATTTGACTAGCTGCCGGCCAACCTACTATTCATCTGATCCTCCTCCGACAGAACATCCCGCAACATCACAGCTTTGCTCGTTACGTCGAACAGCTTTATCGAACCCTTGGCCTGACAGGCCTCCTTCGTTCAACCATGTGAGATTGCTTATGTTAATGCTAGGAGCGGAACTGGAATTTCAGCTGTTGTTGCTGCGACTAACATCTACCAGGAGAATCTCGCTTTCCGTGGTCGCATCGGACATACAGGTCGACTCCGAATTTATCTCCCTCGATGTTGGCGATGACATGACCGTCGCAGATCTAAAGGCTGTCATCCAAAGCGATATAAACATACCTTCGTCGGCACTACGCCTCTTCTTCAATAACAAACTCCTAACAAGCGATTCCCAGACTTTAGCTCAAGCCGCGATTCGGGAGGGGGACATGCTTGCCATGCAGATCCAGACCCAGACACCACGGCCCCAGCAACAACAGCAACAGCAAAACAACGTACGTCGTCAAGCGGGAGGGAACGCATCTATACAAAATGCACTAGCCAGCAGGCAGGCGGAAATGCCGGATCCTGAGACGCTACGGCTGCATATGCTTGGGGACCCTAGAGTGCTGGAGGGAGTGAGAAGACAAAATCCAGCCCTAGCGGAGGTGGCTGACAATGCTCAGCGGTTCCGTGAGGTGTTACTTACGCAGCAACGGCAAGAAGCAGAGGCGTTGGCGGCGAGGGAGGCACGGATTGCGATGTTAAATTCGGATCCCTTTAATGTAGACGCGCAGAAGGAGATTGAAGAAATTATTCGTCAAAATGCGGTTATGGAGAATCTGCAAGCTGCGATGGAGCATACGCCAGAAGGTGAGTTGTAATCTTCGATTTGGTTTAATTCTCCCTTCCAGTGCTGTCGTTACATGCTCACGGTTTCTTCCAGCTTTTGGTCGAGTGACCATGTTGTACGTTCCTGTCGAAGTGAATGGCCACCGTGTTAAGGCCTTCGTGGACTCCGGCGCCCAAGTCACAATAATGTCGCCAGAGTGTGCGTCTGCATGCAATATCATGCGCTTAATTGACCGTCGGTACGGTGGTGTCGCGAAAGGCGTTGGGACAGCTGATATTTTGGGACGAGTGCACTCCGCTCAGATCAAGATCGGGGATATATTCCTTTCCTGCTCATTCGCTGTGATGGATGGCAAACACATAGATCTCCTCATTGGGCTCGACATGCTTAAGCGACATCAAGCCTGCATTGATCTACAAGATAACGTCCTAAGGATCGCAGGGCAAACCGTGCCGTTCCTTAGCGAAGCAGAAATCCCCAAGCACGATGAACTCGAGGATGAGCCGCTAGTGCGTGGTCGAGATGGTGCCCTTGTTGGTGCCCGATCAGGTGCAGTCGCCAAACCGGCTGGCAAACCTTCGTCCTCTGCCTCGCCGTCCCAGATCAGGCCAGCAAATTCTCCCTCTCCATCTTCTTCCACACCAAGAATTAACATCCACCCTTCTCCCTCCGGGCCATCATCCTCCAATAGCCCACACCTTCAACCTCCCGCTCAATCCTCCTCTGCACCGGCCTCGCCATGGCCCGCAGAGTCAATTTCCAAGATAACGGATCTTGGATTCACCCGGGAAGAAGCACTACAAGCTCTTGAAGCTGCTGGTGGTGATCTTGAAGGAGCCATAGGCTATCTTATTTAAAAATCCACGAGGTTCCATTACCCTGAATTTGTATTTAATATTGGACGGTTTTTCTATCAAGAGCCCTTCCTTCCGTGTTATCATGGTCAAAAATGACCTGGGTCTCCTTGACAAAGATATCCTCGATCCCAGTTAGGACACGATACAAACCTATTCCATTCCCCCCATCCTGACGTTTCATGAATCGCCCCCATTCCCCAGGCTACACTTAATCCAATGCCGTCATGTCCATTACAGTTTCGCATAGCCAGATATATATACAGTTATACATAGCTTTCCCGTTTTCGATCCTTGCCTGTTTTTCCTTTCCTTTCCCTTACTAACAATATTTTAACTACATTGATTATGAAGGAGTTTATTCATGCATGTGAATTAATCAACAGAGTGTCATGGCTGTTTATAAAATTCCTGAGGGGGCGGAGGGTGAAATTATGCTTAAATTCATGGGGGGGAATGTTTAAATTTACGCTTAATTATTTTCTTTTAACTCGCGAAAAGAAATGTGACTCACATACCTGCTCTGTCTGTAGGTATCCATCTCTTGCCCTTACGATTTGTCAAAGTGACTGTCTACTCTCCCTCTCTTCGGGGCAAGACAAAACCTTGAGAAACAGGGGAGACTTATTTATTTGTACACGTACATTTTCTCCTGTTATTCAGCTTAAACGAGTGTGTAATTCGCATATTAAATACTAAATTATTAAACATTAAGCTATGCTAAAGCTGCCAGCCGGATGGGTTCGTTGGTTACGTGTCATACATCAGACAGACATTATTAGACATCAAGTAGTTATCAGTCATAAAAAGACAGTCGGACGAGAGAACAGACATAGACCGACAAATATCTCCACGGCCCAGCAGAGGCAAGGAAATCCCGGAACAAATATTAATCCAACTATCCTTCTTCTTCTTGTTCTCTCATCGCTGGGATATTTCATTTTCAACGCTCTCGCAATTCACCACATCCCCCCGTTCAGTGCCCCTCTTACTGACACGGGGAAAAAAGAAATTTGCAAGCGTCACCACCAGCCCAGCGCACGTTCGTTTTAAGGTAGGTAGTTTTGAGAGGATTGCGGCGGGAGTTATAATTTATAACCTGTTTTATTCCTTAAGCTCGATATCGTCGGAGCGTCTCTTTTTTATTGGCCTTGCGGAGATGAGGAATATAACGTGAATGATTCTTTATTATTTCCCAACCAAAAGGAGTCCCCGAGAGAAGGGGGGTCGGTTCGGTTCGGTTATGTTAGCTACTATCTCAACACAGGACTGCTTTCCACAAGAATGTCTCTTCCATGTTCGTTCCTCTCAGCGGGGGAAGGAAGCGTTGATTGCGATTGCGATTGGGATCCCGTATGATAACTCACCCATTCATAAAGCAAAACGCAGCCGCAACGAACCGCCAGACCACAGCACTGGTTTCCGCTGAGTCCTTGCAGATAGAAGTCCGCCGGCCCTCTCCGCAATCGATCCAACTCGCGTCGGCGAACGGCGAGATGGCCACGACAATCCCACCCGCCACGGCGTACAAACCCAGGATTAAATCGAGGGTGATGATGGCGGCGGGATGGATGTGGCCATTTCCGATAAGGAGGGTCAGGTTCAGTGCAATTAGAGTCCATAATGCTGAGATGGAGAGCTGTTTGGTTTATTGTTGTTGTGTTTTTCGATTTTTCGATTAGCATGGGTCAGGAAGTTGGCTTTTTTTTTTTTTTTTTTTTTTTTTTTTTTTTTTTTTTTTTTTGGTCCTTAGATATCGCATGTGTATGATGGAAAAGGGAGGTGCCCGATATAGGGGCCCCGATTTTGCGTGTATTTTAAACATACAGAAGATATTCCAATCGCCTCAGAGAGCGGGCCCGTATCAGGAGAATATAGGATCCCAGTTGCCCATCCCAAGCCAACGGCACCTGTGATGGATATTAAAACGGCGAAAATGCGCAGACCCAGAAAGATGGTGCTTGATTTGACCATGATTTGGTGCTCTTTGGCGCGTATGGGAGATTACCTCGCTTCCCGGTTCGTTTGTTCTCTGCAACGAGACACCAGAAGGACATGAACTCCTGGTGTCTTTTCTGGTTACCAAATCGACGCAGGAAGAAGTGTAGGTACTGTGAACAAAAGAGATGGAGAAAATAACAATAATAATACCAAGAGCAGGAGGTCGACTGCACGTCAAGTTAAGAAGAGCTTCATTATACATCTATTTTTATATGTAATTATCTAATATTGTATAACTGCTATGGTGATCAAGAAGATAGTTGAACCCCCTGAGGCATTTGCTGTGGTCACCGCATGATCTAGAGGTCGTCACATTGCAGCTAGATTCTTAATATAAACCAACTATTGCCAACAACCTCAGATGTTGCTCCGCCATTAGAGCTCAAGCTAGCCTAAGCAGCATGAGGCATGCCGTCTGGGGGGGATCGACAATAACAAGCTTAGGCTTGTTGCCAGGTAAGATCATAGCCACTTATTAAGATTTGTGGAGCGCTCGGAGGGGAAAGCAGATCGCGAGGCGCAGCGGCATGCAGCGCAGAGCTGGATGTTGACGTTGCCAGCGCACAGGGAAGGCATGTATGTGTGTCGGAAGAATGATTTGCGCGGCAGCGGGGAGCATTTTAGTTACCATGTCACAAGGGTGGGAGAGCTTAAATTCTTGGCCCTTGGAAATAAATGCAGAGTGATAAAGCGTTGTTTATATTGTGTATTTTCTGCCAGAGCTGTATTACGGAAGGTTTCTAATCCGTACGTACTTTTATGTCCGGCTCGTGCAGTAATAATAAATATCGCCGAAGCTGACGGAGCAGAGTGACTCGACGGACAAAATCCCGCTATTTGTAGGGATGAAGATCACATACATCCCAACCACACGATTGCCAACATCCCGATCAATAACGAGCATTATTAAATACGCGTATGTCACGATATGATGGGTAACCGAACCCCCAACCCCCGACTCCGTACCCCCCCGGCCCCCACAGACACTGCCGTTCCCTTCTGTCCCAAGCTCTCACTGCCCACCGCCACCATCCTCCCTCTCATCAGACCTTGTATAATCCCCTTGCAAACTTAACAATCCCATAGCCCATGTCAATGACGCGGACCGATTAACCGTGACAAACTTCCTCTCGTCGCTCGGTAAAAGCGATACCGTCCCCTGTCCCTGATCCACATGAGCCATGGGACTCATCGTCCGCTGGTACGGCGGGCCCCTGCCAGCCTCAAACGCTTTCGTCCATGCTGTTTCGCAACCGCTGGCGACGGCAGTTGCCGAGCCGCCGCCTGTCAATCGCGCGATGTTGCGTAGCTTGGCAACCGTCCACCCACGCTGTGCCGGGTCGGTATACTGCACGCCGGCGTAGAAGAGCGGGATCATAAGCTCTATGAGTACGGCGGAGAGTGATGGTATGAGGTTTGCTGTTTCGCCGTCAAATTGTTGCGGGTAGTAGATCCCAGCAACGATGCGACCAATGCTGTTTGCGAACTGGCCTGTGCGGAATGCGCAGATAGCGGCGGCCACCATGGCCTCCGGTGGCATGCCCGGCTGCCCTCTTTCGAGGATTATGCGGCCCGTGTAAAATATGGCCCAGATGCAGGCGATGGTGTGCGTGCGGTATTGAAGGGCAGGGCCGAACGGCGTGGCGATTGGCGGGGCGCTGTCCGCTGGTAGCGGCGCGAAGCCCGGTCCCAGTGCTTTTTCAAAGGCATCGTAGGCCGCCACGATTTCCTTCCACTCCGCTTCCGCTTTTTCCGTTCGCGTTTCCAGGTCATCGCTCTCGTTATCTGATTTCGGGGATGGAGATCGACGGGCCGTTTCAGAGAAGCCGGAAGGGAGGCGCACAGGTCCTGTATTTGGGACCATTCCGTACATGGGAGGGCTGTTATCCCTATTATTAGTCGATGATGCTGTGTCGCCTGGCGGACCTTGCGGAGGTCCGGGTGGAGCAGATGCCCCGACGCCCTGTCCCTGTTGTGAACCGGGAGGTCCCCCACGACCCATACTAGGCGGGAAGAATCCTGGTGGAGGCCGCCATCGCCCGCCATTTTGCTTTATCACCTGTATTTTTCTTGCGCGATCCCTTGCGACGAAGTCCATAGTTCGCGCAAGTAACAATATAAGGTGATCGTTGGATCCATAAACAGCATCGAGCTTCCCAATCCCTGCTCTGGGTGGACATGCCCCCCATCGATTATATGATAGCCTAGGAAGTAAAAAAAACGTTTGTGAATATACTTGCTTTTGGGACACAAAATATGGCTGGGTCAAACATACAGCAGCTGATTCCCACTGACCATGCTCTGATACACATCCTGTTTATAGTAAAGCCAATACAGGTCGCTTCGAATTCGATACTCTTCTATATCGCCCTCTGTTAGATTCCGTTCAGACGCAGTAGCAGGGTTTATCCTTTCCGCATCCCCGAAATTATTGTAACTCATGGGTCGACCCATTATGGTGCTAATAAAGTCGTCATTAATGTCAGCTTCTTTATCCGCGAACAAGTCATTTTCGAAGCGGCTGCCAAAATGTGAGGCACCCATTCCCAGCCACGGCATTGATTGTGTAAGCCGCATGTGCTCCTGCTTGGCCCTTGCTCTCATCGATCGGATATCCCTTGTCATCCTTCCAAAATCACTCTCTTGGATGAGTTGCGAAGCTCCAGCCACATGGCTATTCCATTTCGAGTGTTCAGCACTCATGACTTCATAAAAGCCAAGAAGCAGCGTTGCGGCAAGGGTTGCTGTTTGTTTACGGCGACCGGGGAGTTTGACGGCCTTGGAAACACGACGAATGGCGTAGTGATAATGACGAAACGATGCCATGAGGGACAACCCTTGTATTTTCGCAATGTGATAGCTACTAAGTGCTAAAATCGCGTGTAACAAGCCTTGATTTCTAAGTGCAAGCGTAGGCACGGTGTAAGTCCATAAGCTTTGCTGGGAGGGTGGGACTGCTGACGCGGATAAAATTACTGTCGGGTTCACCGGGTGCCGCTCAAAGATAGACAGCACCGGTGCAACAGCAGTGATAAAATGACAGAATATTCTTGTTACCTCAGGATCCATGAGAGGGGATGCAAGAGGGGAAGGGGTATATGACATCAGCGAAGTTTCGTCGCCTAAGAAAGCAGTCATTGAGCGGAACGAGTATATTAGCTGCTGTGCGGTGGCTGATTGTGGCTCGTACGACTCAGTATAGTTATTAGTGGTTTGAATTTCCATTTCTTCATCGGTTTCAACATCGTAATAATCGTCAATTTCTTCTTCGTAATAGTAGTTTGCCGGTTGACCACCATCACGATATGAGTAGCTTGGCGCATAACCATTAGTGGATGGCTGTGCCTCGACTTCATACGTTTCGTATTGAGGTTTGTCTGTGCCTGTGCTGTTAGAGAAACATAAAGAGAATAATGAAAGAATCAGGAGAGATGTCATACGGTATGGTTGTTGTAGGGGAGGAATTCTATTTGACTGATCGTACTACAGGATATTAGACACTTGTTCTTAGATTGGCATCCACAGAAAACAACTCACAAGTGGCCCGATTTCGCGTTTCCCGGAGGGTACATGAGGATGATAATGCGTTGTCTGCTTCGGACTGATAGTAGGCTGGCTGTTCTGATCTTGGAGGGAGTCGTCATGAAGGAACTGCTTGGGCGAAGCTGCGCCAAACTCGGACTTCAAGATAACTGGCTGTACCTGAGAATGAGCTGAGATAGTCTGCTCTGCGCTTTCAAAATTATACGGCTGAGTGTAATAGTCCTGTGGAACTGGGCCGCTCTGCGGGTCAGGATGTACATGTACATGCCCAGGTTGGTGCTCCAGGCTAGACACATATTGGGATTCACTATTCACGACGTCATCAGGATACTGAGTCGGCCGTGGTGCCAGCGGGATGAAAGACTGGCGTGCTCCAGAAGCGTCCTCTTGTAGCGTCGTGGAGCTGAGAGGACGGCGTATGAATGGTAGGGGATCTGCACCAGGTCTCGGCTGAAGGTAATTTGGGGGGATTGGGCCGTGCCCCAAGTGGGACATAGGCCCAACGGGGTTTCTGAAGATCACACGCTGGGCATATCCCTCGCAGTCCCTTTTCGATTTTCTGCAATTGTTGCAGGTGGGCTTTTCCTCTCCGCATTTTATTCGACGTTTTCTGCATGCTAGAGCGAATCAGTGAGCTTGTATATTCCCTTAAGGACATCGTCCCAAACTGAACGTACTCAGGCAGCCTGTTTTGGTTCGTCTCCTTGGACCTTTGGCCTTTGGTTGAGGGACGTTTTTTGGAGTTAGCGCTGGGGGTAGGGCTGGACTCATGAAGGGGGCTTCTGCCTGTTTGGGTGACGGGGGATCGTTTCCTTCCATGACGAATAGTTTATCGTGATGCGATCCAAGATGAAAGAAATGACGCAGGAAAAAGTAAATGTATAATTATTTTGTGGCAAGAAAAACGAGCGGGCAACTGGGTGGGCAGAATGGCTATGCTCGGTTGATATCCATGTGGATGGCGGGCTTGGGTTGTGAAATGATACGAGCACTGGGCTCAGCACAGGTGGGAGGAACAGGTGGTGAGAACCCCAAGAGGGTTGAACAAACCCACCGAGAAATTAGTGCAATGGAGCCGCAAGATAATAATAATGGAGTGTAGGTGTACGGAGTAGACAGGAATCAAATGAAGATGGAAATATAGGGGTTATCAGCAACTGAATGCCGAAGATATGAGGAGGAGAAACCGAGGGTTTGCTCAGAGAATCCCCGGACTGATCATGCAACGGCTTTACCAATCACATTCCATAGTCGATTCGACGAGAAGAGGGACCAAGAGAGCTATATCTAAAAGAAAGAATTGGAAGAGAAGAGCAGCTCGAGGTTAAGCCCAGAAATGAAAACCTACCAAGACTTAACATAAAGGGAGGTGGTGTGAGCGCAGTCGAAGCTTGGGAATCGGAGATGTTTCTGCCTTCATCCTGGAATTTTGCACTATAATAGAGCTGTGTTAACGGCCCAGGATCCCAGGATTATAAATAGGAATATGAGTTGGCCCTGCCTGAGTCTCCATCCATGGGCATGCCCTTATTTTTCTCCGTCGGAACTTGTAGATGAGCGGTTAATTAATTCTGCTTGACAAGAAGACCGACGAGATGATGATGTTTTTTGACAGGGCCTAGCAAACCCAGCAAACCCAGCAAACCCAGCAAACCCGGCAAACCGACGCTAGCTAAGGAGAAGGGGAAGTGCAGTGCCAGCCACTCGCTGATCAGCATGCATGGCTCTCCACTCAGTAGTCCGTAACTACGGACGGCGGACTACGCAGTAAAGTTACTACTTAACTGATTGTGTCTGACTAGTTCGCCATGTTTACTTTTACTTTTTTTTTTTTTTTTTTTTTTTTTTTTTTTTTTTTTTTTTTTTTTTCTCCCTCCTTAAGCCAGGGAATCCACGGTGTGTTAACGGGCTGAGCATGGTGGTTGGGTTGGTAGCTGGAATCCGGGACACTGGGTGAATGTCGATTGGATGGGCAATGTGCGTCAACTATTAATAGAGAGCTCTTTGCCAACATCTGCATGAGTTCCAAGAAAAGAGAAAGAAAAAGGAAAGAAAAAGGAAAGTAAAAAGAAAGTCCATTCTGATGGGGCCCTCAGCATACAAGCTAGAAAGAAAATAGTGGACCGGACCGCTGAGCAGACTGACTGACAAAAGTGTCCCATCAAGGTTGCGTGCGACCAGGACTTTTCCCTTTGACAGCAACAAAGGGCCCAGGTAACTTCGCACTGTTGTTATCTGTCACAGACTGGACTGACTGTCAGTCGTTGAACTACTCTGTACTCCGTGCTACTACTACTACTACTACTACTACTACTACTACTACTACTACTACTACTACTACTACTACTACTACTACTACTACTACTACTACTACTACTACTACTACTACTACTACTACTACTACTACTACTACTACTACTTACCACTACTGAATCAAGAGCGTTACTATTCCACCAGCCCAACCTTCCTCAGCTTTTCGCGGGGAAGCAGAGCGTTCAACGGCTTGGCGGGCGATCCAGATCGATCGACGCAGGCAAAGACAGGCCAGAGCCTCACCAATCACCTCCATCTGCCCTCGATAGAACCAGTGAGACACCATCATGCCATGAGCATTCTTGTTACGGAGTATTCGGGGAGAGCATCTACAAACTGGTGCATGTGCATAAACATGATTGATTATAATGATCAGACCCTAGGATAATAATAATAATAATCATACTACGGAGTGGAGTACTACTACTTCTACCTCACAGCTGAACCAAAGACGGGAGATCCAGGGACGCGCCTCCAATTCCACCATGCCGGGTCCTCCTTGAAAACCTCCCCTCCCATGTCTCACCGTGCTTCGATGCTTCCCCTACTGTGGAGCCTTTGGAGGGAAATAGAAATGCTTGCCTTGAGCTAAGAGAGTCCTCCAGTGGAGAGCCAGTCAGCTTGGCATGGCACTTGGCCAATTGAGCTTCCCTGCTCCATCCCCTCAATTTCCAATAGCGTGATTTCAAGCCCCATACCTTGCATCCTATCGCACCAGCGGCAGGCTGCCTGCCCCAAGGATGGGGCGAGGGGACAGGGAAACGCCAACACCGGCGTACTGCGTAAGAACAGAGGGGCCACAAAAAGAACAGAGGGGCCACAAACTTCCACAGACAAACGACAAGGCTAAAATAGCCTGCATGGAATCAACCTGACGACAGGTTTCCTTGAAGGATTGGAATGTTGGACGCTTTGGTCTCCGGAAAAGCACGAATCGGGATCCCAAACAAGTCTCCCGCATATGCATCCCTCTCGAATTTTCAGTCAAGACTAACTAACAGTGATCACCATTAGTTTTTGCGTGCTTATTTTTTTCTCTTCCTTAATAATCTATCGACCATTTGCCAAGTGCATATGCATCAGTCCTGCATTAGCCGCTTGGACTAACAATTCTTCTTGTGCGTGGTGATCGAAGTATTCTACAACTACTTTTCGGATGTGTTTGGCATTATCTTCCTGCAGGTGAGAGGATGCACTGCATGGAGCTGAATCCTGCTCTAGCTTCCAGCTCCCAGCCTGATGGATTCAGTCGAAAAAGTTAGCTAGCTGGTTTTTTACCCCTGCCCATCCCGTTCACCGTCTCAGCCGGAGGCAAAATCCATGGATTGGCCGTGGTGCGTTGCATTCTCTCAGCGATTGGCTGCCGCTCAGTTCCATAGGATTCATTCTTGTTTTTTTTTTTTTTTTTTTTTTTTTTTTCTTCTTATCAAGTACATAAGCAAACCCAACGGAACATTACGTAGTAGAGCATAGACCGGGTTGGGGGGGATCGGACAGGGAACAAGGGTCACGAATAACAATGAAAACGAGGATGGACATTCGTCACGTAAATCCCGACCCGAACTCGTGTGCTTCTTTCGAAAACTAATTCTCCGCCCCCTTGGTGGAAGCTTGGTGCGAACTTACTAACTCAGAAGTTAAAACGACGTGTGGCGTGCTGGTATCAGGTCTTGGCCCAAGCCCCCGGTCAGCTACGGCTAACAATTGATCATAAAATAAAACTTGATCAGGACAGACCGGAGAGCGACGATCTCTCATGTTCCATGCATGCGGAATATAGTTAGATACTTCAGTTCTTAATGCATCCTGAATACGGCTACTAGATTCCAGAGTACAAGAGTCATAGAGTACTCTTCTCTCCCTAGTTATCTTCTGTTTTTTACCTTTTGTATATCAAAATCAGATATCAAACTCAGTTCTCAGCCAGTTGAATTGTTCTCTAGCAAATGTTACTTGGCGAGTTTTATAATTCCCACTCATATCTACCTAGGTTCGTCTACTGCTGAGAAAAACAGCGGGTGTGCCCGGCCAGTCAGAAGTGCCTCCTTTTTTCCACATATAAGTCATAATATGATGCTTTTATTGAACCTCGTTATCTTCTGAAAAACACCTACCTCTCGCACATTTCGTGTTGCCTGCCACCTTCGAGCATGTGATATATTCTCATGGAAATATCAAAAATGTGATGATGGTTGAGGTGGTTAAAGAGTTATTAACCATGGTCGAACCGTGGGGGAAAGGAAGCGCGGATAAATCCTGCGGATAGGAAACATTATCCCAGGTGATTTTTTATCAGGACTAAGCTAAAGGGAAGAGAGATGATCCGGCGGATGTATCAAGCTATTCCTATGTACCTTACCTTATCAACCTCTCTAGAATCCTAGCATCAGCCCGCAGCAGTTGACACTTGAAAATCCATGATAGGACGGACTACTTTCTTTGCAGTCAAGACTTCTCAGGGGGCACTACATCCTCTCATGCCGGTGAATGATAGTTGACCTGGATCCCTATTCAGCTTTCCACTCAAATGAATTTGGGTCTTCGAAATGCGAAATGCCGTAGAACTCGAAAGCTTTTATCTCAACACTGGTCTTCCCGCGGGTCGCTATCCGATAGCCGCCCACCGTATTGAGAGGGGACGTACAGCTATCGGAAGTCGAAAGATCTGCGCAAGCAACCCGGGAAGATGTTATCTGATCCTTCGGTGCAGAACGCAGAGTATCTTCGTTGGCCGGTGACGTTTGCACGTTTCGATCTGATTATCTATCAAGGCTGGGGAACCAGAACCAAAACCAAAGCCGTTCCGGTAGAGAGACCAAGAGCCCATATGAATAGTCTCTTAGATGCATAGGGAGGTTCCTTTTCGGGTCAGTGCTTCACAGCTCTCTCTCTTCATTTCCTTTGGGCGGTCGATAATCTCATATTCCGTGATCGATGTCAATGTATTTTGTTTTGTGCTTGAACTCATATACTAGTTATCAGAACCGTAATACGATAAGCATTATACCAACGACCAAATAATGAGACTACCAAAGATTTTCGTGGCGGTTAATATCCGGGAAAGTCATCTCCTTAAATCGGGTTCCAATTCAGGCCCGTCCAGGTTAATAACATGAGGTAGAGAATTGACATGATGGCGAACTGCTCAGTTCTGGTAGAGCAGAGTCTGCAAGTGCCTTTTGAGGGCCCAGCAGCTTCTCGCACGTCCCACAGAGTACTGGTTGGTACGACTGAAATCGAAACAGCTTCAAGTTGGAGTTCGCATGAAGAAGCCAATTTGTTGTGTTTAGATCACTGTGACAAAAGCTCATTTTCTTCGCATATTCAACCGTAGATGTGAATTTTGTATCCATAGAGCGGTGGGGCCGGGATCCTCATAATCTTTCACACGGATAAGACGTCCCTGAAACGATTATTTTCTTCGCCCCTGACGATCATGAAAGCGCCAAATGGCGGCATTATTCGCGCAATATATGGTAAAAGATGTTCCGAAGCATGAGAAAATAATCCAGGTCCTGACGCCAATTTAGACGTTCATAGAAATTGATATCCTTAAGTAAAGATACCCTTCCCTCTCTTCTCCAGGGCATCGGTCAAGTGGTGAACTGTTTTCACCACAGTAGTTGAGCTTGTGTGGTAGACGTGAGCGTACGCTTCACCGCCAAACCAATTATAGTTCTTAAGAGTATCAATGTAAGTGGAAGCTCATGCAGTAATCGTAGCTGTAGTTGAGGGTGTAGTCTTGTAGAGGTTTGGTGGAGTTATCACTCTTAAGATGTAGGAGCAAGCTGCGACAAATATGTGCAGATTAGGGTTCGCTGTCCCCGTGATATAAATCCCCTTGTTGGGAGAGGGAAGATCAGCTTCCCCGCGACAATACCATTTTCAAACGGGTCTCACTGCTGGCTGCTCAATAACAATGGACGTACGGAGTACGTGAGGGGCAAAAGATTGAGGTGGTATTTACGGAGGATGACCGACGAGTTAAAATATCTGTGTTCCGGACAAGTATTCTTCGCGTGTCTAGGTGGACATTCTCATCCTCGTTTCCCCCTTAATTCCCTGGCTTCTATCAAGGGAAAAAGAATATCTAAAATCGAAATATATTCTCAAATGAGCTGTATGTATGTACATGTACAGTACTATGCGTGCTATTAAGATACAAAGAAAAATGGCCAATAAGTATTATATATATACAAACGAATTGAAGGTAATATATGCAGAGTTGGAGAGCTCTGCGTCAGTCCGCTTTTCCTCGCCTTATTACGTTTTCTGACTAAAACTCCGCCTTCAAATACTCGACTGGCACCTCGGGAAGTTTATCATATCCATCCAGCAGAATAATTCCCATCCCACCTGACAAATGTGTCTGGATATGGCAGTGTAACAGGAAAGGACCCGGGTTAGTCACTTGATATCGAGCAACTACCCACCCGGGATCTTGTGCTGTGCCAGGAGGCGATGTAAACCCATCTACCAAGGGCGGCGATTCCAGGTTAAAGAACTGAGGAACCTCTTTGATGGCATCTTCAACAGTCTCCCAGTCGAAAGGTCCTTGCCCCTTACCGATCAGATACATTTTGTGCGAGTGCTTGTGTATCGGGTGAGGAGGGTTGAAATTTCCGCCCGTGATGAGAACTAGATCCACCCATGTACCATTCTTGGTTGGGAAAGTCACATTTCTATTACTTCCCAGTGGCCCGTTGGGGTCGAAAAGAATTGGCTCGATTCCTTGAGAAGTGTTTAGTGGAGCTTTCCCGCTGAGGGTCCAACGAAAGGCCGCGCCGGCAAATCCGATGTTGAATTTGAAAGTTGTATCAGCCTTGGAAGCGGGTTTGGATGGTGGAAAAGGAGTGATCTTGTCCTCGTTGAGAGCCACAAAGTCTGCCGTCAGGTTGACGCCATTGTATCCAATGGAGGGCTTACTGGGTTTGGGACGAGGGCCTTTCTTTTGCCCTGCATATCGAAGGGTCGCAAATCCGCTGAACAGTTGGTTGCTTTCGACATTGGCAGCACGTATCGTATAGTCTCTACGAGGCTTGTTGAGCTTGATCAGGGCAGAAACTCTACTGCCGTTGGGAACGGGAGCGGCATCGACACGAGTGGGTTCGATGTAATGCCCATCGATGGCATATATCCACATTTTATGCTCATCGATGCTTAACATGAAGCGAGCAATTGTTGACGAGCTTATAAAATTGAGACTTACCCAATCATCATCAGGGTCGACGGTGAGAATTTCATGTTGTCCTTCATTTGGCTGACAGTTGTAGTAGAGGTCTTCCGGAACTTTCTCGGGATCAAAGGGGAAGTCACCCACAACAGACGGGAGATAGTAAGGAAGACAACTTTAATGATAGTCAGCGTTGTCAATCTATGGAACAGGTAGGGGGTAAACAAACAAACCCTTTGTCCGTTAGATTCTCATCTCCCAGAAGCATTCTTTGATCTGGCCTTGTCAAATTATTCAACTCGTCTTGGGACTTGCATATAACTGATCCCTTCCCATTGATCAAAACGCTATCCGTGCAGAAGTTGTCGATCCCAGAATCCGTAGCCACATGGAAAAATTCTTCCGAAGTCAAATGGTGCCAGTCGGACAAAAACATGGTCGTTGGGTTCAACGTGGCTTTCCTGATCTTTTCAATCTCCTTTGGCGATTTGGAAATCTTGTGAAACGGTGCAGGTCGGCCCGGTTTTGGGCTAATCACAATCGCTCCAAACAGGCCATCAGACATCTGGCCGTGTGCATGGCCGTGATACCAATAAGCGCCATATTCGACTGCAGTCCAGCGGTACAGGAAGGATTCCCCTGGCTGAATAGCCCTCTGGGTAACATCAGGCACTCCGTCCGACCACGGGGTGCCGTGTTGAGAAATGCCGTGGAAATGGATAGATGTTTCAAATGGAAGTTTGTTTTTAACGAGGACCTTAACCTCATCACCTTCCGCGATGTTTAGTTGGGGCCCGGGGAATTGGTTGTTAGTGAAAATCACTTTTCGTTCGGTTCCGTCGGGAGAAGCATCTCCCCAGGTGAGCTCGAGCTCGAAATGCCGGACGTTAACATATTTGGGCGGGCACTGCCCAGCTGAGATTGCTGGGAGCAGGTAGCTAAACCATATAAACAATAGAGGTATAGACAGAAGCATTGTAGCAACTAAATTGAAGGAAAGGGAAGAAAGGAATAAGAGCCGAAATTATCCTCACGACGGGATGAGGGAAACTAGGAGGACGAACGAGGGGGTGCCTCTGTTGAAATAGTAGGAGAAGGGGGCTGAGAGTATTTGTAGCAATCAAGGGCATGACGGCAGATAAAATAAAATAAGAAAAATAGAAGCCATTAGTCTCACCCATCAATCCTAGGCTCGGACTCTTTATTCGCTTGTGAGATCGGTAGTTGCCAGCACAGATATGGAATTTATCCGCAATCATGCTGGGATCCCCGTTGGCAACCTCCTGCCGTCTGTGCCTAAACATATGCAAAGCAACCCAGCTTGGGATGCCACAGAACAAGCTTGACATGCGGTCTCGCGGTTTCGATGCGCTGGGCGTTGACCTGGGGTAGTGCTAACCAATTAAACGTCAGATTATTTCAAGGCCCGGTCGATCTTTAAATTAAACACCATTTCCTGGGCTATGCTGAATAGTTGCTGGTCGAGCTCAGGAGAAAGTTGCTCCGGTCGAGAACGAGGGTGTATCAGCTCGACTTTGAGTTTCTAGAGAGAAAGGTGTAACTAGTTAATGGCGGGCACAGCCGTAATTGTTTGGCAGAAAACTATTCCAACCTGACTCCTAACCTGTCCTTCGCAGCTCGGTTTGAGTTGAGTGTCCATGCCACTGATAGAATCTAGCGCCGCAAGATCCCAAACATCCATGCCGGCTGCCGCTTATGTTGCATCCGCGGCTGGATACCAAGATGAGCAATGGTCTGTCGGATGGTCATCATACCGTATCATAAAATCTGCCGAAGCCAGTTCAGAGCAGACTCATTGGTCTTTGGGATTCAATTGAAGAAAAGCCCCCAAATATCAATAAGCCTTCACCGCTGTCAGCAATGCACTAAAAAATGTGGTGCTGTTTTTACTTCAACAGTAAGTGACTGGCGGCTGATTGATCACCCATGGAAATCAACTTATTTAGTTCAAGGATCACAGCTCAACATGCACTGCGCGCACGGATGGGAAGGAAACCCCAGAGTAGGAACTTGCTGAGTCCTGGAGTGCTGGCGGAGAGAGTGGTTATCAAAAATACAGACACACACCACACACTATCACATGCAAAGGAAGAATTGTTGGATGCTCTGAGGCATTCACAAAGAGTCTAAAAGTGGCTACCAACCTTCGCGATTTTGGAAGATAGATCCCTGACCTGTGATTGTGGTGATATTTGAAGAGCAACCTCTGCAAAAACCCTATCTATTTTTGATGTTCCAATCAATGCCAATTCTCGCCCATGTAATGTGACTCATCATTCAACGAACTCATCCACTCAAGTTACTTAACAAACTACTATTTTTTCCATGAATCTCTACAACTCTTCAACTTCAACTACTCACCATGTCACTCAATGAAGCAATTGTAGAGAAAGCAATCACTCAATTGAATTGATAATTGATTTCTAAATATGCTGAGGTTGCAAAGAAATTCAGAATCAATTATATTATCATGATACAGTGATTTAAAAATTAACAGATTTTCAGAATAAAGACAATATCAATTTATTATCAAAATTTCACAAATACTGAAAAATAACATTTTTAGTTCATATTAATCAGTTATTCAATTACAGCTTCTTTGTAATATTTCAAATACTGTATAATTTTGTATTTAAAATCATTAAAGTATAAATAAAAATTAACTGAGTATCTCACTTTTATAAATAATATAAAATAAATATCAAGAATATTTATTTTTATATTCTGAGTTAAAAGAGAAAACAGATAGATAATAACTATTATTTTAAACAAGTTTTTATTCTTATAATTACAGTTTTTTTATTTTTTTTATATACAATTTTATAAGCTTTTTACTGACTTTTATTAAATAATAACAGAAGAAGATTGTCAGAAAATAAGAAGTTATACACTATAAATATTATTAACATTATATTACTACTATTTTTCTTATTATCAGCTTATTATAAAACTTATTAAATACTTACTAATACTAGCTCTCTTCACTCATCTATTTATTTTACTATAAATAGCTCTATATTTTGTATGAAATTAGATATAATAGATAGTGTATGAATAATATAATAAGCAGATCTCATTATTATTATTATTATTATTTTTATTATTATTATTATTCTTTTATTATACTTATATGTAAGTAAAGCTTATAATAAGTTCTTATTAGACTGACTGTGTAACTGTGTCTAAGACTAGAATAAAACTTTATAGTTTTTATATTATCTAAAAGTATTACTTCTGATTATAATTTGTATTTATCATATTAATTTCAATTAAACTCAGTTTGAGTGTCAAAGAGCTAGAAGTATGATTAAACTTCAAGTTGAATTTTAAATATTATATTCAACAAAGAACTATCAAGGCAGAAAGACTATTAAATAGTATAATCAGACTATTAAATACAGAGAGAGATCTATTCTTTCAGACTATAAGATAGTTTTGCATAGTCTGTATCATCTCAGTAGCTGATTATGAGGTTTAAGTTTGATAAAATAATCAAGAAAATTTCACTGAACTCTTTCAAAGTCTGTAAAACAGAGCTTTGAGAAGAATTCTAGAAGTATTCAAATTATCTTTTATTAATGTAATGAAAATTGAAGCATCAATTTCTTTACCTGCTATTAGATTTGAAAAGACCTGTATGAACTATGCTCTGAGAGTTATAAGAATAAACATAAATTATATAATCAGAGAAAGAGTTTCTTCATCATTTTTATCAATTAACTCAGAAAATGAACTGAATTGAAATAGATTTCTTGATTGAAATAAAAATAATTCTTTAAAGAAAATGCTCTCTTAACTATACAGACTATGTTTACTAATTAAGAATTAATTTTCTTCATTAAATGTTGAGAAAATTAATCATGAGAAGATATCTCTCTGAAAGAGAAAAGCTGAAATCTCTTATAAACTTGTAAATAAGTGAACTATCTAAAGAGAGAGAATATAAGAAGTATTTAAAAAAGATCTTTATAATTAATATAAAAGACTCTATTCTAATTTACTCAGATGACTTAAAATGTAAGAATAAATGCTCACAGACAATTATTCACATATTTGCAGCTTGAAGTGATATGTACTGATAGCTACTAGAAGTATTCGCGGTAGAAAGATAAAATATAGAGATTAAATATATAATAGTATTTAAGCTGAGTTATAAATAGTATTTATAAACTTGAGTCTATATTGTTATATGTAGTCAAGAGCTGCTAACTCTATTAATTACATAAGAGATAGAAATAGAGATAAAGAATTCATAAGAACTGAGATTTCTTACATACTCTTTTCTCTCTAAGACTTTATTCATGAAGTCTTTCACTGAGTAATTTCATAGAATCAGACTCAGTACTGTAGTAATACTTACTAAAAACTCTTCATATCTATAAAATCTCAGTAAGGAAAAATCTCTTATTATTATAAAGAAAAAAGAGTCTGTTACTTAGTTTCTTATTTTATAAGATTCTTTATAGTCTGCAGATCTTTCTCTAACTATTATACAGATTTATCTCAAATCTTTCATTTTATAGAGTTTCAGTTAACTCTTAATCATTTTCACAAGATTCTTGTATAATTATTATATAGATTTATTTCATATCTTTTAATCTGAAGAGTTCTGATTAATCTTCAATTATTTTTCTATAAGATTCTTATGTAACTACTACACAGATTCATTTTACAGATGAATTACTTTCTGTAAGATTACTTTCATTAAAGAGAAGTATTTATAAGTTAATCTTTTACTCATTCTTATAACTTATTATTATTTAACACTGTAAAGTTGTAAGAAATTTTTCATTCTTTTATTAACTTTGTAAAATTGTAAAATTAAGATATTCACAGGCTGTAATCACTCTTTATAATTATATAGAAAGATTCAGATCTGTAATTTATAATTATTTCTTATTTATCAAAGTAATCTGACTATTCTATAAGATTACTTATAGTGTAAATAAATCTCTCTAAAGTAGTATAAATATCTCAGATCTGTCTGTGAAACTCTATCTTCTTTTCTCTTTTTCTTATTATTATTATTATTCTTTCACTATACTCATATGCAAGTGGAGCTTATGATGAGTCCTTGCATGATGTTAAATACAGGTCAAGTGTTGATTATACAGAAGAAAATACAGGTGTTGAGATCATATCAAGATAACAAGAACATAGAAAATACAAAGAAGTGATAATTAGATACATGCGATAATAACTTCCCAGCTCAGAAACATAGAGTGATTTTATTGAAGCAATTTGTACACCTCTGTATTTATTAGAAACCTGAGGTGCTTGAGTTCTGAATTTAATGTATTCCCTGCGGGTTTCAAACCCACACACCTTGGTTTCCCACGCCAAGGCGCTACCGGGTGGCCGCATTAACCATTTGGCCACCGGAGCTTTTCTCTTTTTCTATAACAGCTCTCATTTATATAGACTGTGAGTATTCTTATTTATTTACAAAGTGTTTTCACTTAAATAACAGAAGAGAGTGTTTCTGACAATATCTGTATATTAATTCAAGAACTTCTCAAGAATAAAAATTTTTTAATTTTAATATTTTTATAAATAATGTCTGATTACTACTGAGCTTTTTATAAGTGTCTTTATAATATCTCTAATCACTTTCTATCAGCTGATAATACAGAGACACTGTTACTTATAATAGTATTTTCATTCATTTTAGCTCTGTCACTGTATCTAATTTTCAGATTAACAGTTAACTCTGTATCTCTTTCAGATCAGCTTCTAACTCTTAGTAGTATAGTCTTATTCTTTACTATAAGTCTTCTTAAAATGTTTTTGTAGCACATGAGTCTTGATATGCTAATTATTATGAAGCTAGTCTGTATTAGAAAACAGTGATTCTACAGACAGACTGTAATATAGTAGAATTGAATATTTTCATTATCATTATCATTATTCTTCTCTGTAAATCATTAATTTGATTGCTTTATAGTAACTAATTTTTTTAAAAAACAACATCTGTATGACTCAGTCTGTAAGCTATCTAATCATCTTTGATGAATTCAACAGTTATTTTCAAGAGATGCTGAACATGGTTTAATTTTCTCTGAAGAGAGATGTTCTTACAGCACAGACATTTAATCTCAACTTCTTTGATATTAAGTAACTCAATACTATTGTCTCTGACATAATGTTTAACAGAGCGGGCCGGGGCTGTAACAGCAGTAGCAGGTTATTTGCAGAGAGAGACATTCTGCTTGATAACTGCAGTGAGCTTCTTTTTCTTCTTCTTCTTCTTCTTCTTCTTTCTTTTCTTCATCTCTGTCTTCTTCTTCATCTTCTTCTTCTTCTTCTTCTTCTTGAGATTGATGATTCAGTTGTCTAATTATATATCAGTGTGGCGGGCTGCGCCCGATCAATCATATAGACTATTCCATTACACTCCATAGATTCTTCCATTCCCGATCGCCGATCTGCGGCTGCTACGAACGCGCGTAGCATACGCTCCGATTCTCAGCCACTCCTGATCACTGATCCACAGCCGCTACAAACGCGCGTAGTGTACACTCTGATTCTCAGCCATTTCTGATCACTGATTCTCAGCTGCTACAAACATGTGTATATTCTTTCACTCTGAAGCTCCACCATGTACATCACCACATACATGTATAAATATTCATCTCAATTGCTGATTCTTGCACTTTCTCTTTCTTTCCTTCTCTAACATTTTTATCTTTGTTATATAAGATCTATCAATATTATACTGATCTATTCAGTGTAGGCCTCTTACACTATAAAAACATTCATTGTCTTCTTATTAGAAAATAATTATTCACACATTATCTTCTCATCAGGAATAATTATTTATCAAGAGATATTCAAATATATAACAACACATAAGAAACAGTCACACAGTTAAACAGACACTGAGTTCTCAAATAGAAGCTTACTCATCAGTCATCCTGACTCTGTAACAAGATCTTATAAAGAGAATAAAATCTTATAAGAGAATATCAGTGAAAGATCTGAGAGTTCTGACACTCAGATATATAAGAATATGATTACACTTCTTCAGATTTCACAGATATCATATATCTGATAATCAATATAATCATGTCTAATAATAATATGAAACTCTTAAACATGAGTATAGACACAGTATCACAGTGGCTCTGAGCAATATTGAAACTATAATAATAATAAATAGCTGATATGCATGCAACTTAACAACATTAATATAAAGAGATTTAACAATTATTATAAT